AGGGAAACCTCAGAAGGCAGGAGGAAGAGGATGCTCACTGAAATAAGAAAGGACAGCTGTATGTGGGAAAAACAACATGGAAAGGAAAATGTGACCATTTTATAGAGGGCAGGGACATAGGGAGTAGGTAGGGGCGGAGAAATAGTTAAGAGAATATTTGTCCCATCCAGAATTCCACTTGCATGTTTGCCAGACAAAGTTTTTTTTAATCGCCTAAAATACAGATGCTGGATTACTTATTGCTGCCTTGACTCCCATGTACTCACTTTGTAAATTAACGCTTTACTCTGCTTACCTTGCAACATCTGCCTGGGTCAAAATCTCTACGAAGCTCCAAAACCAGTCCAATTGCTTTTACTATGCTCATGAAGCCTTTTCAGTGCAATATTGTCTGCGGCTCTGGTCATGGTGTATGTTCTTGGATACATACCTATGTATTCGTATCTGTACAACAGCGTAAGCAAGCTTGTACCATCAGGAGTACCTTGAGCTGCTTTATGTTCTCACATGCAGATCTTTTAGCTTTTGGTGCAAACACAGTCCAGTGCTTGAGCTCTGATTCTCCCAAAATACTACTCAGGAAGAGTGTCCTGGCACTCCATGTGGATATGGCCATATGGATATGAAAACGTAGCTAGGACAGCAGGCTGAGGCAAGTGTGTCTCGTGATCGTGTTTAGTTAGTCAAAAATCGGTCCAAGAAACTAATCTTAAATCAAGCATTCATCTCTATAACTGGCTATTTGACCACTTCAAGTGTCCCAAACTCTCTTGCATTTCCACAGTTTTGCTGGTGCTCTACTGATGCTTTTCTAGCCTGCTGAAGGCTGCGAGGGGAAAGATGGGGTGTGTGGTCTCCCCAGACAGTGAGGTGATGGGAACATGCCAACGAACACTGGAAGGTATCAGCCCTGGAAGAACAGTCTTGCTATTTACTGGTGCTTATATTTTCCCCTTGAGTCAGAGCAGAGGGAAGGGGAAAGTGCTGCTGGCAACTTTCCTCCTGTGAGTTCCACCAGCTTCTGTGCTTGCACCCTGACCTGTGACAAGCAGGAGGGCGAAGTGGTGTGTTTGAAATGTCAAGTTCTGTACCATCTGTCTCTGCTGTGTACGATGGGATGCCAAGTCAAGAGGAGCTTTGAATTGGTGCTGCTTAAGCATTCTCCTTCATTATAAATTCTCTGGAGAAGGCTAAATGTATTTTAACCCTAAGAAGGTGTGTTTCATTGCGCTGTACCTGGAAGAATTATTTTGTAAGGCAGAGGGGGAGCTTAGGACTGCTTTTCTAGGACAAAGTAGAAATGAAAAAGGGGTTGAAAAAATCTTCGGCCTCCCATGTTACAGACAAATTCTCTCCTCTAAGTGTAGTTTGTATCTACAGCCTGTTGGACCCATCTGGTTCCCTCGGAAGTTGCCTTTTTTCTTGCTCTTGAGGCTTACCTTGGCTTGCCTCCCTTGAGTATTAACAAACCCCAGGTGTCTTAACAACTTAAAAACTCTCAGCTCCTTTCATGGTCACTTTCACGTGTAAATACATGCTAAGGGGGTGAGGGGAGAACTTTGTTAGCTATTTGTTGTGCAGGCAGAAGTGGGGAAAAAAACCTGCATTACTAATACAACAATATTGTAGTCTGGATAAGTGTAAGACAGAGGGTGGGATTGTGATGCAGATTTGAGAGAATGGATGTTGTGTCAAGATGGCTAGACCTTTGTGTCAAGATGGCTAGACCTCAGTTGCTTCAAGCTGTAAAAGAATGTTAGAGTGTACTTTGGATGTAGACCACATGTGCCTTTTGGTTTTAAGGATTTGGGTTTTCATAAGTCCTCTTCCTGCTTTCTGCCTGTGTTTTCAGTCTATTGACTACAATCATGTCATCCTGTTTCACTTTGTAATAACCTGGCACAGTAGCATTAATGGTAGTGTCTTATGTGGATCACCAGATGAGAGTATTTAGTGTTAAAAGCTAGCTGTGATTTGGTAGTTAATATATTTCTTACTAGTGGTTAAAAGTCTAAAATCAATTAATAGGAAAGGTTAGAGAAGGTATGCTTAAACTGGTTATTTTCAAATCAAGTGGGCCCAAAGGAATGCACTCTAGAATACCTAGAAAAACAGCCTGAAATAATGTCATAGACATTGGTGCTTACCTTCTCCAAGCTTCTGGATACTGGAGGCCTGTAGCTCAATGGGAGAGGATTAGCTAAGGGAGGGTTACAGGTCATCTAGTTTAAAGTAATTCCCAGGAAAAATACTGAAAGTAGAAGGTTATTAAGCCAGAACAGTGATGAGGAAAGGAGAAAGGGCTGCCACAGATTAATTAAGCGTAGCTTCCCGTTGGTAAATCCTGTTTCTTCCTGACAAGGTAACAGGTCTTCTGGGTAGAGGTGAAAAAGCAGATGACAGATCTTCCTTCTATTAAAGCTTTTAGAATAGTTTAATTCAGTCTATCTGGTCCTAGCTTGCTGTGAGAATGTGATCTGAAACTACGTTCCCATGAATGATAACTTGCTGGAAAACCATACTCAGTTACAAAAATTGTTAAGAGATTCACTGGGTTGGAAGACAATTTTCAAAATTTAAAAAAAAAAAAAAATCTGTAGAAGTCTGTAATTGGATAATAGTTCATCATTTTAGTCAGAAAATCTACATGTTAGAGTAGAGATTATACTTTTAAGTTTGAAGATACAGGTGAAAGAAGGTGGAAAAGGGATTTGAGTTCATCAGAAGACACTGGATTACAGTTCAGAATTACCTTGATGTATGGGAAAATTGTGCTGCAAGAATGAGGTGAATTTTATTAGTGACAAATACAGAGCATGATGTCCTGGCAGGAGTAATCAGCTGGACAAATACAGCGCACAGGTAATTACTGGCTGGGCAGCATTTCCACAGAAGAGTTGTACAGATGACAGTGAATAACCTGAATTGTTACTACTCGGTATTTGAAAGATTTTGACCGAAGTCATGGTTATCAACTGAAGAGAGCTCGTAAAAGAGCAGTGAGAAAAATAAGGCAGCTAACTTCACATGAGAGAGATTGTAGAGGCTGTGATCAACAAGAGAAAGGAATCTAGAGGAGGGAATTGAGTAATATTCTTGATGGAGAGAGGAGAGGGACAAAGCACCCCATTGTGGGTGGGAGAAATTAAATGAGCCAAAATTAAAGTGAGAGAGATTTGAGTGTTAGACATTAGAAAGAAGACTTACGGTGATAAAAATTTCTGGATTGGAGTCTTGAGCAATGAACAAGGCACAGATCTTTTGGGAGGGGCCTTAAGGTTGCATGTTCCTGCTGTTGGTAAGGAATCCAGAGGCTTCTCCCACCCAGGGCTTCTGGTTTCAGTGGATGTGTCAAAGGCGGCAATTAGAAGACGCTTAATGGTCACATTTTTCTCAACATTAATATTCAAAATTATTTACTTGCTTTTTACTAAGCTGTGTGTCGTCAGTTTATGTTGCTGACACTGGCTCTTAGGAAAACACTGCTTGTAACTTGTTCCTGTTGCCCAGGTGACAGAAATGGTGTTTGGATAACACAACCTTGTTCAGAGTATAAACTGAAACCACAAGCAGGTAGTAGTTGACTGAAAGATAAGCATTGTCAGCTAAGTGAAATTATAGTGAATGTCTTTTGCTGTGTTTTGTGGAATACATAGTTCACTGTAAATATATAATTAATAAATTGTTTAGTTATCCATTCCGGTACTACATGTGACCCTAAATGTTTTTGTCCCTAGCAGTGGTGCTTTTCTTGCTGGTTGGCAGTGGAATTGCCTATTTCATGGGCTTCTCTTTTGTTACAGGTTTTGGGCTGGATCCGAAATGGAGAGTCAATGTTAAATGCTGGGCTCATCACTGCTAGCTCTTTGCAGGAGGCGGAACAGTTACAGAGGGAGCATGAGCAGTTTCAACATGCAATAGAGGTAAAAGCACCATTTCAGTGACCATAGCCAAGAAGTCCTGTATTGCAGTTCATGAGTCTCTGTAAATAGCGCTGTTGGGTTCACGCTACAGTATTTTGGGTTTAGGAAAAGCTATTGAAATCATCTTATGGCAGAGAGATAAAAAAACTTACTGGGAAGGTGGGGTTTTTGTTCTTCTTAATTTTGGAGCTACAATTCTAGGTGAACGCATCTTCTCAGTGACTCTTTGCATCTTTGTAAAGTGATAAATGTTCACAGCAATTTTACTGAAAACGGTGTTTCCCTTTGTTAGAATACCACATATAATACTAATTGTTAAAGTTAAGAATAAATGGAACAGCAAACATCAGTTTTGTGTGTTCCGATATCATCCTTTAAGGTTTCCATTTTTGTTTGACAGTAGGTTTCACTGAAATTTTTGTGTGGTGGTGTGTCCATCCTCCTGCCATATCTTCAAATTAAACTGATCAGCTTGGTCATATCTCTACAAAAAATAGGCAGAGATCTTAAAATTGACTGAAATGCAGTATTAGTAGTTTATATGCACTATTGAGGGACTTATGGTGATATTGATTATATATAGCATACATTTTTTTTAAGAAGTTTACTTTTGTCGAAACATTAACCAATGTTATGATTGTTTGGGAAAACGATTTTCAGAAGTACTCTGTCTTGCAGTAACTCATGTTTGTTCGCTATTTGGTGAAGTGTTAGGCTTTGCCCCCCAGCCCTCCCTTTTTTTTAGGGGGGTGAGGTTGGTTTTGTTTGGGTTTTTTTTCAGTTTGCACTAAATGTACCCTCATTTTGAGAGTTTTTGTAACTCTTAAGTATAAAAATTATGAGACCTCTAGGTGTTCGTCAATTTAAGAATAAATGACTAGGAAGCTTAAATTCTGTGTGTTCTGGATCATTCTGTACTCAGATATAATAACACTTATTATAGTTAAGGGTTCCAGATTTTAGGCAAGTATATGTTTATACAGAGAACTACAGTTAAAAATTTGCGTACAGTGAATGGAGAGTTGTCTTGGGTGGGTCTGCATGTCTGCACCTTCATTTGCTCACTACTGATGTGCAAAAAAACTGCAGTAAAGCTGTGAGGACAGTAACAGCAATCAAGCCAAAATAAAATGCCTGTTTTCCATCATCTTTTTCCTCACCATGAAGGGAAAGAAAATCAACCTGAAATTCATCATTATAACAGTGTACTGCAACATAGATATGCCATGGGTGGCTTAATGCTAGACAGTGGCTATTTCTTACAAACTGCTAGTCGTTGTTGATTTGATGATAAATTTCTACAGGATTTATTTCCTTTGTATTTGCCTAGTGAAGTCATGCCGTGACTAATATTAGACAGTTATTTTTAGTCGATGGGTGTTTGTGCATGTGTATAGAAGTGTCATTAACACAGTGAAAGTATGAGCCTTTGAGATCTTCAAGAAAATGGAGAAAGAAATTCCATGATCAACTGAACTCCTGAATTTTCGCCTTTTGTCAGAAAACACATCAAAGTGCCCTGCATAGGCAGAGGCAATGCTGCAGGCTAATCACTATGACATGGATATGATCCGCGAGTGTGCAGAGAAGGTTGCTTCCCATTGGCAGCAACTGATGCTGAAGATGGAGGACCGTCTCAAGCTTGTGAATGCCTCTGTTGCCTTCTATAAAACTTCTGAACAGGTACAGAAATGCTACATGATCTGTGTCTGCCTTGGTTAATTCTTCAGTGTAGCATGAAACAGCATTACCTGAAAAAATGGTTGACTGGGTTTGGATATGTGTACTAATTTGATAACAGCTACAGTCACACAAACAATGAAGAAGACAAATCCTCTTACCAGCTGCCTTAGAAAGAGAAACCATGTGTTGCAGCCTTTCAATATCTAAAGAAGTGTTATAATACAAAGACTTTTTACCAAGGTCTGTAGTGACAGTACAAGAGGCGGTGGTTTTAAACTGAAGGAGGGTAGGTTTAGATTGGATGTAAGGGAGAAATTTTTTATGATGAGTGTGGTGAGACACTGGAACAGGTTGCCCAGAGAAGTTGTGAAGACCCTATCCCTGGAAGTACTCAAAAGTCAGGTTGGATGAGGCTTTAAGCAACCTGATCTAGTGAAAGATATCCCTGCCCATAGCAGGGGAGTTGGACCATAGATGATCTTTAAAGATCCCTTCCAACCCAAACCATTCTATGATAAATGAATAGTAGACAAATTGAACTAACTGCTAAGAGACTACGGTGTAACTGGTCTGGCTACACTTGCTTCAGCTAGCAAACTTCAGAGAAGGTACATTAGAAATCTTTATCTGTCTCCTCTATCACTGTGCCCTTTAATATTCCTCAGATTCTTATTTTCAGCTGAGGAAAGTCTTGCAGAACATTTTCAAGATGAAACACTGTACAAGGGCTTAGCTGAACTTCTGCTTGTTTCAAGAAGTTTTTCTTAAAGCATAAACAAGTTACACAGAGGTTTTAATGGAAGTACCTCAGATGGCAAATTCTGGTTTTTTGTGTGGGAGTCAGAGAAAAATCAGCTTCATCTTCCTTGTCCACAGAACAGTAGGGAGAATGTTGGCAAGGTTGCTTCCTCAGCAATTGTATCTTCAGCCCATTCTGAACTATGCAGGCACAGAGGCAGAGGAAGATAAGCAGTTTTAGGGATAGCCCTCTGAGCCATTCCATGTAAGCAAGCTAATGCTTGCAAACCTACAGCCAAAGTTTGTTAAGTTGCAGTCAAAACATGTCAGAAGCTAAGGTATATGTAAGGAGTAGATAGGTTTTTCTTTTTTTTCTTTTTTTTTTGCTTGTGTTTTGGAATTTTTGTCTTACTGAATTATATTCGAGTTGGACTCCTCTTTGCTGATAGGTGTGCAGTGTGCTGGAAAGCCTGGAGCAAGAATATAAGCGAGAAGAAGACTGGTGTGGGGGAGCAGACAAACTGGGTCCCAACTCTGAAACAGATCACGTTACTCCCATGATAAGCAAACATCTGGAACAGAAGGAGGCGTTCCTAAAGGTAAGGTTTGCTGTTTTTTGTGGTCCTCTGTGTCTTGGAAAGCGTGCACTCAAACACTTACTCTTACCGTGCTGAAGGGTATGTGGAAAGCAACAATGCCCATTCAAAAGCTACAGGTATGTCCCAAACTGCAAAGGTGTGGGAAGTGGCACATTAACTGCTTCTGACAGTGATTAGGAGAATACTGCCAAGTGCATAAAATTGTAGCCAGTTTTATAAATATATTTCCTGTTGAACTTCAGTAGATGTCAGGTCTCCCACTGTGACTGAAGAGGAATTGGGAATCACTGCTTTGAGCAGCTGTCATTCTAAAGAATGCTTAAAGGCTGCTGCTTTGGAAGAGAAGTGACAGTCACGTAGTGCCATTGCTGCCTTTGCATCAGAACAGCTCTCAGATGTACTTGGACTACAGTAGAGTACAGAAGGAGGAAATTGGTAGACAAGCATCTGGGAGTAGTTGGGTTTGGGTAATAGTCTGCAGATAAATGAAAGGTTTTCGTTCCAACTGATGTCCTAGTGGAGGAGGTGGTTGATGATACTGAATAAATGTTGGGGGTGCTTGCATAGCAGTGTAACTAACCCTGTAACCAAAGGCTTTTTCCAGCATCACTTTGAAAGACTACTAGGAGTATAAAACATGCTTTGTTAAAAGCCTTTTTGTGCTCAATGCACAGATGAGAACATTCAAAAAGATATTAGCATAGCTCTAAGTATACTGTCAAATAGCTCTTTCTGTGGCTGGCATGTGAGTTACCAGTCTTTGTTTTAAAACAACGTGAGAAGTGACTTAGTGTCTATGTCAGTATATTGAACCATGCTAATTACCTAACCTTTTAAAGTAGCATTTCCTGTTCTGCTTATTAAAAATAAGGCAGCCAGCCCATATGTAGTAGTTGGTGTAAATTAAGATGAAGGCAGCTGAGCTGAGTGTTGGCAATACAGCAGCGAGGACTGAAAGCTCTCAAGGCCTTGTCTTAGTATTTTAAGGTTGTGTTTTAACATTTTAGCACTTTTGGTTTCACTTCAGTGGAGCGTTTATTTTTTATTTAAAGTATTGGTGGAATTTTTTGGAATATCCAGGTGAATACATAAGCATGTGCACTCTGTTTACACAATTAATAACTTCAGGTGGCACATGGCACATACACGAAAAATTCTCTGTGAGCTCGGAGTCATGCGCTAGAAAGCTCTAGAGTAGGTAGTTGCTTTTCAGGATCTTCAGATGAAAAAGAATAGCATTTTGTTTGGGTTTGATCATTGGGTTTTTTTTTCCTGCTGGGTAAGTAAGGATTAGCTGCTATTTTAATGGTTGGGTTGGCTTACTTGTAGAAGGGTTTAACAAGCAGTACTTTCTAAAGTTGGAAAGGTTGGGAAATGCACAAAAGTGGGGTGAGGAAGGTCCTTCATCTCCTTCTGGATGTATATTTGTGTATCTTCAAGTAAAGTAATACCACTGACTCTCTAGGCTTGCACACTGGCTCGGAGAAATGCTGATGTCTTCCTGAAGTACCTGCACAGGAACAGCGTAAACATGCCGGGGATGGTGACACACGTCAAAGCACCTGAACAACAAGTCAAAAGTAAGGGGTTTCTTTTTCTTTTTTCCTCCAAAGACCGTGATCATCGTGTCTGTGGTGTGTGTGATGATGGGGGAGTGAAACCTGCCCAAGTGGAAAGCATCCTGTCAGACTTAACAGGAAATAATTAAAATTGCTCGCACACATTGAAGCAGCTGCCAGTCATCAGATTCTCTTATACCCAAATAAAATTGCTTTGAATTTATATATCTCTTGCTTACACTTAATCTTCTTTCAATTTGAGACTCAAATGTGCTGCTTTTGTTGAGACAATGAGGTGGTAAACTTCCATGTGATAATGTTTGGTCTGAAGCCAAATGGGAGCTGATCACTGTGAACTTGCTCGGTGGGTTAGTGTGGTGCATTCTGTGAGTTCCTTGGTAGTGCCAGCGTGATAGAAGACAATCCTTGAACAACGCCTTTGGGCTCTTCAGGTGGTTGAATCAGTATTAAGGATCTTCATAAAGTATAGGATAACTGACATCATGTTTAAATTAGGTGTGTAGATAGGTAGTAGCTGAGGTGAGGCAGGAAAGATCTATTACATGGGGCTTGTCTTTCGCTAGGATTGATTCAGTGTAGCGCAGCTTTAAGGTGTAACATGCACTGTGAGGAATGGAGTAGAGAGAAATCTATAGGGTTTTCAGGGACAAAAGTACAGAAATTAATAGGGTATGCGTAACCCTATTATGGGTGAGGTAGACAGAACAGAGATCGTAGGGATTCAGAATAAATATTGAATTTTACTAATTTATTTGTCAGTCGTATTCTGCTCAACGCATTTTGAAGCTGTGACTGAAAACTCAGGCCATGCTACAGACTCAAAACCAGAGAAGTCTAATTGTCTAATTAATTGCTGTTTGCAGCTACCCAAAGGGGAGTTATGCAGAGGATGGAGCCAAACTCTCAGGAACATGGCAATAGGACCAAAGGAAAAAGTCGCAGCAAGGAAAATTCTGAATGGATGTAAGGAGAAAGTGTTACAGCAAGAGTGAGAAAGCACTGAGTAGAGCAGGTAGCCTAGACAGGTAGTAGAATCTCTGCCCTTGGGAATTTTTAAAACTTAGTTAAACAAGCCCCTGCAAAACTTTGACATTAGTCCTTTTTGAGGAGGAGACTGGAACAGATGGCCTCCAGAGGTCACTTCCACTCTAAATTACTTGATGACTCTCTTAGAAAAGGACATGCTTGCTGCTTCACTTTACTACAAGGGGAAAATAGTTTGTGTTAAACTTACCCATGTATCCAACAGTACTCAAATTGAAAATCTCCCTGTGTTGAATTAGGTAATAGGGCATTGGCCATGCTTTTCACCCTAAGGAAATAATTGGATTGTGCCAGTTGAAACTTTGAGCATGTAGAGCTAAGCATTGTTTTTCCTCTGTCCCCAACGCATCAACATTTGTATAGCTGAACAAGACAAAATATCAACAGAAATCCTGGCAATATCAATAACTGAAGAAGAGTTGCTGCATTTGTCATTTAGCTGCTCTTTTAGTAGTAGGCAGAGAAAACAAAAGCCAAAGCAAGCACGAAGTTGTAGCTACTGCACTTACTGAGTAAGAAAAAGATGATAGGGCGTTTAGACAAACTTTTTAAAAACTCAGTTTTGAAATCTGTGTAGAAACAGTTATTCTGAGAAAGGTAAATATGGTCAGGTGAGGAAAAGTCTCTGCTAATGTCCTTGAGAATATATCAGAACTGTATGTGTTCTGTGTACAGAATGATACGTTTGGTATGGATGAATGATACATGTTTAGAAATCACAAAAAAAGCAACAAAAATCCTCAAGCAGGGAAAAGATAAGCTATGTGCTCTAACACTTTTTCTCTTATAAGCCATGTAATATATGCTTCTGAGAATTAAACATGAGTCAAGATAAAACTGGCGAGGACTCCTTCCTTTGGGGTCTCTCTATATGGTGGTAGCTGACCAAGTGATGTAAAAGTTCACTTTTCCTCTTCAAATATGCATATAAAGAAAAAAAAAATTCTCTTTTCATCTCATCTATAAATAGATATAGAAAAAAAATAGTGTTTATTTCATTTTGGTGAAATAAAGGTTACATGTGTTTTACTGGACCATTACACACTCATGCTCAAGTGTATGCTTGAAACTGTGTCAGACTGTGATCAGGATGTAGTATATAAACGAACACTTAAAAAACTTGAATAACCCTTGAGTTTCTGCAGAACTGCTGAACATTTTTCAAAAACTTCATTCAGTGGTATAGTTGATCCTTATTCGCAGCTGCAGATTATGGTATCTAGAAAAGCAATGTCTCAATCTAGGCAAAGTTTAGCTAAGCACATGCTTATTGGGAAACAGGAATCAGAGTGGTACTGAACTCTGAGAGGTGTCCTTCATACCAGTGTAAATAGTTTCCTTCACCTGCAGTTAAGACTATCCAAATACTGTATCAGACATAATGCCAAAGCTGAGTTTGAGGAAGGAGTTGTGGCCTGAAACTGTGCTGTGGCAGATGGATTCATCGACAGTTGTCTGTAAGCTCAGAAACGGCATTTTTATCTTTGCTTCTGCTGCTAATTTCATGTTACCTCATTCTCTGCTGTACAAGCTGCTGCTGAACATCGTGCAGGAACTTGTTTAGTGGTGCTTATATTTTTAGATAGGTTGATAGAGAGTGCAGTATGCATAGAGACAGCTGAAAGCTCTCCGAGCCTGGAGAATAAACTGAAAGTTTAGGAAACAATCCTAACAAATTTTGGCATCAAAGAAAACAACAACAGGGACTATAGTTCAGAAGGCTTGAGGTGGAGCTGCTCATCCAAACCTAGTATTACATATTGATGTTCTATAACTTTGAGTATTTTATAGAATATTTTTTTCTTCCTTGGCAGTCCAAGAAATTAATGACAGTAACACTAATGGTACCCAGCCAAATATCTCTTACTGGCTTGCCATCTGTATCATGTCCTGATGGAACAAATGCTGTTCCAGTTAGCTAAATTCACCTTGCTTGCTCTTTGTTAGAACTACTTCACTTGTGTCACTACCAAGATATCTCTTTATATGATGTGTCCGGTTGGGTTATTGCATTGTATAATGATAATTGTGTCCCACGCCTCCACCCTGCCCCCTGAAATCTGGCATGTGTTCTGAGCAAGCATTTTGGAGGTGGTGTAAGGCAGAAATAAAACTGAGAAAACAGGTGAGGCTCATAGCAGATCAGCTCATGGCTTGGCTAAGGGACAGATCAGTTGAGGCATGTTTGAGGGTAGCCTGCCCAGCAGGAAGAAAACCTTGGCTGCAATGACCAGATTCCAACCAAAAGCAAGTCCTGAGTGATCTCAACACTCTGTGGCAAGTGGGAATACGGTGCTTCCAAGCAGGAGGATGTTGGCAGTGATGCAAACAGGTTTCATAATCCTCAGGGGGGACTGTGACAAGTGGTTGTAATTGGTCCCAGATCACTGCTAGAGATGCTTTTCCCCTCCAGCTTCCTTTATTTGAGCTTCTCTATCAAACTGGTTCTTGGAGTTGTTAGTTCTTGGGATGTAAGGCATGGTGGACCTGCACAGTGGGCCTTAAGAAGCCTAGCACCTGATAGCCTTTATTCATAATTATGGAAAATAGCCTGCTGTGGGTATAAGTAGAAAAGCAAGTAAAGTGTTACTGTGAAGACTGAGCCTTTTTTGTAGTCTCTTCTGCTTCTGGTAGACCTCCGTTTGGGTTCTGTGTACTTTCAACAGAATCATGTGTCAGAGACATTGAGTGTCCCCATTTCCATGTGTTTCAGCTTGTCATCTGGGTTTGCAGTAGCTACCAAGTCTGGTAGGACTACTGCTCTGGAAGAAACAGTGGGTAAAGTAAGCTTCACTGGAAACTGCTAGGATTTCTTTGCTTGAAGAAAAAAAAAATCAATCAACATTAAAGAAGCAGGGTTCAGATTAAATCTTCTGCATGTTGTAAGTAGTCCAGGAAGAATTTATAAGCCAGACACGTGGAATTGCAGGTGGAAACTGGATGTGACTTCTCAATGGCAGACAGTTTCTGATACTCAGGAAAGGAATAACAGATTGTGGAGTTAATTATTTGATTACCTGGAAATTCTCTCAAGGGTCGATGAACACTCATATTTGAACGAGTTGACTTACTCGATTATACTGCTATTGGTTTTGATTGTTTATTTTGAAGGGGAATTACAAACTTAGTAATTGCGGTTTGTTTTTTTTAATTACTTGGGTTTCTGTGCTTAATATCTACTTAGGTTGCATTTGTTCTTATAGTTCCCTAAGGTTATGTATTTGCCCATATGTATTAAATTATTAAAATATTTTCTAGGAGACTGGTATATTCAGAAAAGGTTTTCTTATTATAGTTATCATGTTGTGATTACTTGTGCATACTCATTCTTTCTGAGGAAACCCTGTCAAAAATCATCTTTATCAGATTACATTTTCAATTCTATTATAAGCAGTGGCAGTCCTTGTATGAAAAATATTTGAGAGGAAAAAAAAGATGTCAGTAGTTAAGTTGTAATTGTATCTCTAGTTTCTTTAACCAACATGTCTATAAATAATAATGAAAAAGGAATGCTGTGTGTCATCAATATCAGGGAAAAAGAGCAAAACAATGAGTAACAGGAAGAGTAAGTGTATTGTAAATTCTACAATATAAAGTACTTTATTCTGATGATTTTGTGTGATATTTCAAATTTGGTTGTCATAACCTCTGTTGAAACTATTTTCATTTCTTCAGATATCTTGAATGAACTCTTCCAGAGGGAGAACCGTGTGCTGCATTATTGGACCATGCGTAAAAGACGTCTTGATCAATGCCAACAGTATGTGGTATTTGAAAGAAGTGCAAAACAGGTGAGGGTTTTATATAAAAATCCTCTTCAGTGTGTTTGAGGTTTAGTATAAACTGACCTGTCCCACAATAAGAAATTTGCCATTGACTTCAATATTTCAAATGGCTGAAAGATCAATGATTAAAATAGAAAGTAAGTGAAATTATTTGCTTTTGCTTTAATACAAAGCAATTAAATCCATCGAGGCAGGCTGTCTCTAATGCTGTGACTTAAAGGTAGTGTTTTGCTTCTGCCAGCTTGACCTGTACTGGCAAATCTCATTTCTGCAAGCTTGTGTTTGACGAATTGTTATGCTTGTTAATTTTACA